TCGATATGACAAATACTTTACCATTAGGTACAATTAATATTAATAATAGTAAATAGTAAAATAGTAAAGTAAAGTTTAAACTATAGGCTCAAAACTAACAAAACAAATGCAAACTACTCCTATTTTTAAATTTTAAAAAGAATATTAATTTTGAAAATATATTTTCAAAATTTAAAACCATGTATTTTGATATTATATACTTATATTATGATAGGTATGATATTTTTTTAAATATTAAATTAAAACTAGTCTTAATTAATTTGTAGTTTGCTGCTGTGTTTAATTTTTTTCTATCTCGTGGTGTAGGTACCTATTTTTGTTTTTTTGTTATGATATGAATTAAAAGTAAAATGTTAATTTTTTGCCATAAAATTAATGATAAATAGATTATTTGCAAGGGATTAATTACACAGGCCTGCGATGGTTTTTCACTCTGTTAAAAGATATTTTTTAAATTCATTTACAGATTCAAGAAGAAAAGGTTAAAAAAACTGCTAAATTGCCAAAAGTTACAGACTTCTTTCGTATTAGCGAAACGCCTTTAACTTTGAATTCTGTGTTAGTCAATCAAGAACTGCCTACGTATTCGACTTCAAGCAATATCAGTTTATCAAGTGCAAGTGCCAGCAGTGAGGAAAAAAGTGTACAAAATTTAGAAAAAATGCAACTGCCCGAAATTAAAAAAAAAACTTTGTAGAATTGACAAAACTTACAGACGTCTTCCCTATTAGCAAAACCCCTTTAACTTCAAATTATGTGTTAGTTAGTCAAGAACAATCTACGTGTTCGACTTCAAGCAATATCAGTTTATCAAGTGAAAGTGTAAGCAATGAGGAAAAAAGTGTACAAAAATCAGAAAAAATACAGCTGCCTGAAACTAATGAAAGCGTTGTCTTCCATTCGCAAGAAGATCCAGCCCTATGGCCTACAACATTTAGTGATTGTATGAGGCAAGCCTACTTAAATAGAGGTTCAGGTTACTTCTAAAATAATGATGGAAAGTTTAAAGCATCAATTCGAAAATGCCAAAAACAAAATCGGTCATTGTCAGTAAAACTGTTCGAAAGTCGGCAATCAAACGGGGAGTCATATGTAAGAAAGTGGCTAATGTATTCAAAATCAAACGGATCAGTTTATTGCTTTATTTGCAAACTGTTTTGCACAGATCAGAAAAAAATATTTGTAACCGGGTTTTCTGATTGGAAAAAGGCAGAAGAAAAAGTAAAATCTCACGAAAATAGTTTGGAGCATCGTAAAAACCTTTTAACATGGAAAACGCATTCCACATCTTCCAAAATAGATGAAGAAATTACAAAATCAATGGACAAAGAAATTGAGTATTGGAAAAACGTTTTTAAACGTATTGTTGAGGTTATAAAATTTATTGCTGAAAGAGGTCTGGCTTTTCGAGGTGAAGACGAAAGATTAGGTTCTTCACATAATGGAAACTATTTAGGAATTTTAGAACTCATCTCAAAGTTTGATCCATTTTTATATCAACATTTGGAAAATTTTGGGCAGAAGGGCAAAGGCAGAGTATCCTACATCTCTAAGACCATATATGAAGAAATAATTAGATGTATGGGCAAACAAATTTACAATACAATTATAACTGAAATTAAAGAGGCAAAATATTATTCCATAATAGTAGATTCCACACCTGATCTCTCACATGTGGATCAGCTGTCTGTTGTATTCAGATACTGTTTAAATGGAAAAGTTATAGAACGATTTCTTTGTTTTGTTCCCATTCATAGTCACACAGGAAAATCCCTTGCGAACGAAATTTTATCTCTTTTACGTACAAACTCCGTGAAAATTGAGAACTGTAGAGGGCAAAGCTATGACAATGCTAGTAATATGTCTGGTAAATATAATGGTGTTCAAGCTGAAATTAAAAAAATGAATAAACTTGCCCGTTATGTTCCTTGCGCAGCTCATTCACTAAATTTAGTCGGAGAATCTAACGTGGATGAATTTGTAGAAGCTTCAAATTTTTTCGGCTTTTTGAAGAAATTATATGCGTTTTTTGGTGCATCTACTCATCGCTGGGAAATTTTAATTAAAAACATTAAGAAACAGAACGAAGAAAATGGTGAACACAGGAATGTATTGGTTGTAAAGTCACTTTCTGCGACAAGATGGTCCTGTCGCGAACAAGCAGTAAAGTCCCTTGTCAGCAATTATGATGGCATTTTTAATGCTTTAAAACAATTGGCTGAAAACCCATTAGAAAAAAAAGATACGAAGGATGACGCATTTTTTTTAAAGAAAAAAATGATAAGTTTAGAAAACGCTTTTATGGCTACTTTCTGGAATGAATTATTGGAGAGATTTGATACCACCAGTAAGTACTTGCAAAAACCGGGTCTTGATGTCATAACAGGACATAAAATGTTAGTGTCATTACTAGAGTTTGTTTGCAACCTACGAGGCCAATTTGAATCATTAGAGAAAAAAGCAAAAGCTATGTCTTCGATTTTAAATACTCTATACAAAGATGAGTATCAACGTAATGTTATTAAAAAATTAGCCGACGGCTCAACAGAAACAACACGACAAGGTCAAGATAAATTTCGAATAGAATCGTACCTACCGATGATAGATAAAATAACATCTGAGCTGAAAAAACGTAGCCAAGCTTACAAAGAAGTAAGCGATATGTTTGGATTTTTTGGTCACTTAACCACCCTTTCTTCCAATGAGATAACTGACAAAGCTTTAAACGTAATTGATCTTTATTCCGACGATTTAGATAAAAACTTGGTTCCCGAACTCCTTCAATTTTCTGAATATTTAAAAACTTTAAATGGCAAAAATATAATTAGTGTTCCTTTCCTTTTAGACCTTTTAATTGAAAAGGATTTATTAGAAGTATTTCCAAAAATTTATATAGCTTTAAGAATTTATTTATGCATTCCAATAACAAATTGTGAAACAGAAAGGTCATTTTCAAAACTTTCATTTATAAAAAACAAATAGCATGGGTGATGAAAGATTATCTCATTTAACTTTAATGAATATTGAGAATGACCTTTTGTCTTCATTAAACTTTGATGATCTAATTGACGAATTTTCTAATAGAAAAGCTCGAAAAAAATCGTTGTAAAGATCAATAATAAATACCTAAGTTGTTTTTTATTGGCTTTTTATTATTATTACTAAAAATTACATTTTTCTTTTAATAAAGAACTTTGAGGGCCCCCAACATTTTTTAGCCCCAGGCCCCCTTTTGGCTTAATCCGGCCCTGCCAGTTACCTACTATACCGGCTTTGAAGTTTTGACAGATTCAAAAAGTTAAAAAAAAGGACCTTTAAAATGTAGAAAAAGAATAGATGTTGACATAGATTACTTGTAAAATTAGTTTTGTATTTGTTACAATGTTATTTTTTTTATTAGTTAGTGTAAATAACTATTTTTAATTATAATAAAGATTTAGGCATACCATTTGTTTAAATTTATTATAATTTACATTATAAAATTGTGACAGCACAAAATGGTTTGACAATACAAAAAACTTAAATGTCAAAAACTGCTTGGTTTCTTTTCTCTGTTTAAAATTATATAAGCGTTACTATTCTTACGTAGTCGTAGAGAAAATAATGTCTGAAACACGTTTGGAATAGCATATTCCACTCTCGTAAAACCGTCACACTCGCCTTCGTCTCGTGTGTCAAATTCCAAACTTGTTACAGAATGTACTATTCCCATTTAAAAATTAAATGCTCCACTTTAGAACATATAACATTTTTTACCGAGGGTTGTGATGGGCAATTTAAAAATCGATATCTTGTCTAATATATGTAACGCGCCTCATGATTGGGTTTTAAGTGTTGATTGGGCATTTTTTGTTACCAGTCATGAAAAAGGCGCAATGGGTAAGGTTGGAGCATCAGCTAATAAAAATTGTGGTCAGAAATTAAATCTAGAAAAGGACAATTAATACTCCAAAAGAATGTTTTGAGTATTTAAAAAATCTTAAAAATGTATAATTGTTTTTACATATATACCTATAGTATACTATCAAAATAAAAGAGGCTGGCGCAAATTTAGAAGACAAATGGAAGAATATAAAACCCATACCTAATCTTCATTTACAAAATTTTTTTTGAGCTGAAAATGAAAATCTTTTACATAGTGTAACAGAATATTTAAAACAAAATTTTCAATGCATATTATAGGGTTAAATAATGTTTTTTCTTATAAATTTAAATTAAATAAAGTAGTAATATATTTCCTAACCTTATTATTTTCAACTTGTCCCACCCGTCACATAATAATGTCCCACCCGTCACATTTTTAATATCGCATTATATTTTTTATTGACTTTATCAACATGTTTTTTAAAAATATATATAAACGCATTATATAGTAGAAAGACTTATGTAAAGAAAAAAAAAATTAAACATATTATAGTTTTGTATAATTTAGCAGAATTTTGCTTCCAAGCAATAAGTCATAAAAATATCGTTTTTTGCTTGTCCCACCCGTCACAATAAAAAATTACTTTATAAAACTAAACAAGTCTGTAAAACTAAAAAGTGTGACAAGAAACTGGTATTGTTTATTTAGATGTTGTATGGTAGTTTAAAAATATCAGGGTTCCATGGATAAAAAAGCTTACAATAATAAAATATAAATTGAATAAACATATACAAATTAGTACAAGTGTCCCACCCGTCACATGGAATGACCCACATACTTAGTGCACCATGTATACAAAAAAATAAAACCAATTGCCTTATTTGTAAGATTTTTAGAGCGGTTTAAAAGAATAACGGAAAAATATAATGTATAAACCCTTTAATTTATAATAAAATAAAACCAGTGTTTCGTTTAATGCATAATTGTATGTAAAATGTAATGTAAAATTTCAACGCAATATTTTAATTTGTTCATATATTATAGGCTTTTGTCTAGCTAGATTTAAAAATCGAGCCACTCCATAAATTTTACTTAATAAAAATGTCACAATACATTTTTTATTTTATTATTTCAGTTTAACTTGATGTTATCCGAAGACGGTAGTGGTAGAGGGGCTGCGTTAGTAGCAGCGGTGGCCGCGAGAAAGAAGGACAACTCTGCACCAGCCCCAGCAGCGGCGCCACCATCCGCAGAAGAGGCGCCAGCTGAAGGATAACCAGTAATCAATTATAATTAAAAACTAATTTAATAAATAGAAATTTTAATTGATAATAACTAAAAGCTTGTCCTGATTATAACTTTAGTAATTTAAATTTGTTTTTTTGGGTTCCTATAGTGTTTATTTTAGACACATTAAGGATGGCTCTGAGCGAGTCATGTTGTGCTGTTTAAGGATGTTCTATTGTAATGTTCGATTTTTCTACATAATTATCCTTTAAATAGAAGCCATGGAATATATTGCTAAAATATTTTATTGTTTTTCCAAAAAAAGTCATGTTTATAAAATTCTATTTTAACAATATATTGCATTTATATGAATAATGGCAATTTATATGCATGTTGTTAAATATTATTATAAATAATATTGTTTAATAAAAATAACTTCTGGTTATGTTATATCTGGCCATATTTATTTTAACTAAATAATTTATTTGTTTTTATCATTATTTATGAAAATTTATGTTAAATTTATTTTATTTGAATTCTAGATTATTGCCTTATTTGTAAAAATATTCTTTTTTAGTTTGGATTAAGTGAGGACAATACTTTCTTGAAAAAATTCAGACAACTGCCATAAAAAACACAAATTTTATCACCACATAAAAAACATTGTGATTGAAAAATTGTTGATATCTTGTATAATTGTTTTCTCTAATTTTTGTACATATGTATGTAGTTTTTATTTTTTATCACCATATTGAGTTTTAAATACTTAAATGACATTGTTTTCTTATACAAGGCAATGGTTATATAGTACATATTTTATGATGTCAAATAAATTGTGTTAAAAAAATATTATTTTTTTAAACCTATCACATTGATATACCTACATTTAAAAAATAAATTTGTTACTTCCCGGACAACATTCGTGATATTCATACGAACGTCACGTCGTGATTTTCACAAATTTTATTCAAACTGATATCATACGGATGTTACTGCGTGGGAAATGAAAATCATGTCGTGATTTTTTATGCCATTGCTGTTTGCGATTGACCGATGGCACAAAAAACCATGTCGTGCCACGTTCGTACACTAAGAGAAAAATTATGTTGAATCAACAGTTTTTGCGGTTAAATACATTTAATATTTTCTTGGATTTAAATTAACTATATATAGTTAATTTAAATCCAAATATTGAATGTTAAACTGTTGATTCAATTGTTAACATACTTTTTCTTTCAATGTACGAATGTGTCGCAAAAATGATTATCCAAACACCTTTGGCATAATAAATCACGACATGATTTTTTAGGCCATCGGTCAATCGCAAACAGCGATGGCATAAAAAATCACGACATGATTTTCATTTCTGACACAGTGACATCCGTATGAATAAAATTTGTGAAAATCACGACGTGACGTTCGTATGATTTTTATTTATCACGCGGTGACGTCCGTATGATATCAGTATGAATAAAATTTGTGAAAATCACATGATGAAATATCTTTTTTAATTGAACCCGGACAACATTCGTGATATTCAAACAACGTTTTATAAATTATAACGGTGTAATGTGAATAACAAACTAGGTTTTAAATTCGCAGTTCGCAGGGCTCATACGCATGCGCAAATTTTGCAAATATCACACCATAAGTTCTACATGATATCACTGTGATGAAGCAAATGTATGCACTCAGGATATCACAGCGTAATAAAAAAATCAGGTTGTGATATAATCATGACTTCACCAGGAAATCCTGATTGTTGTCCGGGTTTGCATTCAACATTTTATTAACTTAATATAAATAGTTCAATTTTTACCAACTGAAATACAATTTATCAATCAAAAAATTGTTTTAAACTTTTTCACATTTAAATATTAAAAATTTATCAAAGAATTGTAATAAATTTTTTCACATTTAAATATTAAAAATTTTAATTAAAAACACTTTAAAAGTTACTTAACTATCTGTGGCAAAGGAAAAGAGTCTCAGCCAAACTACTATGTTAGGGATATTTTTGGTGGCTTAGAACATCTCTAACCCAAAAACTCATAATTATTAAAATTTTTATTAGAATATAGATTATGCTTACATAAATATTTTATCCAAAATTATTTCCTTAAAAAATTTACATGCAGTGTTTGATACAACTTTTTTGCTTTTATGGGACCCAAACCTGGACATTCAGCTAATTCTGTTTCACTAGCTAATATTATTCCCTTAAGTGTTTTAAACTTTCTTATTAAAGTCATTGCATCCGTTTTATTAACTCTTTTAATAGCAGTTAATGTGGTTATCAACTAAAAGAAAAATATAAGGTAATTAATATTTTGAGTAATATTTAGTAGGTAATGTTTACATTTAAATAAGGCAAACTTTCACTTTTTTCCATCAATCCTTCAGCTGGTTTATTTTCATAAATTTTATATGTTTCAATTATTTTCCCAGATTCTTCAGCACTCCAAGACAGAATTAAAGTTAAATCTGCTAATATACATATTCTAGTTAAGTTTTTTAATATGTGGTGGGGATCTTTAATATCCACCTAAAAAAAATTACCTTTTAATTTGAAAAGTGTATAATATAAATACTTAAGTTACCTGAACTAATAGGACCCTTAACTGGTACATTTTCCCTAAAAGTTTTAGCCTGTCATGTATATAATCAGGGTTTAAATTATGATATCGTAGTGATAAAAATAAAGCACATGTTGTTTGCCCCATTTGGTAATCTGGTACAATTTCATCATACTCCCAGGGAACATTGCAAACTGATTTTAGTAAGGGATTCCCACGTTGTTTTGGATTTACTAATAATGTATGGGTTTTGGCAATGCCTTTAGTGGTTTTCACTGTTTAAAAAAATGCAAAGATTAGTAAAGAAATGAAATACTTATAACTTGAGGTTATTTACCTTCAGTTTCCTCATTAAAATCATCTGCAAATTCAAAAGCAATATCAGCTAAATCCTCATCCATTTTAATTTAAAGATATTAACCTAAAAATTATTAATTTCATTTTTTAATTAAACACGCCTAATAATCATAGTACAAACAAATAATTTACATGTGTTTAAAAAAAGGGTCATAGATTACAAAACATGCTCTTTTTATTGTTTTAACAGTGCGTTTACTGTGATTGTTGTGATAACTGTTTTGAATCAAAACTTTTGATAATTTTTTTGTTACATCTGGCAACACTGGATGTTGTTTTAGAACATTAAGCCTGACTTATAGATTGCCTTCCTTCCTTCCTTCCTTCCTTCCTTCCTTCCTTCCTTCCTTCCTTCCTTCCTTCCTCCCGTAGAAGATGAACATTACGTAATTCTCGCCATTAACATTTCCCGTGTAGGAATTTTTAATACTTTGTGATATTTTGCAATTATGGTAATAAAAAAAATTAAAGAATAAAATATTTTCTTAACAAAATCATATTTTGAAGTTATTTTAACATTTTAAAGTATCAATAATTGTTAGGTTTAACTAAAATTAATAACGGGCAATGTTAATGGTGACAATTACGTCAAAAATGTTTATTTAAATCGTAGTGCCAGTTATAGATTCCCGTACCGTGAGTACGGCATTCCTTCCTCCCGTAGAAATTTTTAAGTTTTATCTTTCACCGTAAGGTCTTTGACATTACCAATCACAGTGCTTGTTATTGACATGCGCTGTAGGGTGACAGCGCGTAATTACAAAATATTTAAAATACCTACATGATTCTTTATTAAATAATTTGTGTCTCTAAATAGGATATTTAGATATTGTTTATGATCAATGTCTTTCATTTTTAGAAACGTTGCTTTGTAAAACCCCATAGTTTCCCGGTCTTGGTAAAGTGGGCGAGTCTTCCAACGTCTTGTTTTATATTTTTTTCATTATACTGCCCTACTATGGAAAAAGGCAGTAACTACAAATGCGTTTTCTTGTGCTATGATAAAGCTATGGACATTTTGTATCGTAATTCAACAAAGAAATGCAGTAAACTATCTTTTAAGTTAAATAAATCAGTTAAATACCTACTGCTTTTTATAAAAATGTAGTTTATGCTAATTTCCCACAAATTTCTTGTTTAGCAGTTACTGCCTTTCTCCATAGTTGGGCAGTATACAACAAGCTGCCTGGGCAATTAAAATTGTGATCACTGCACTAATATTTAAATGATTATCTTTCATATTTACACACAATGGGTAAAACGCAAAATATAAACAAAAATAAATGTCAACCATTTTAGGTGTCATCGCGCATGGTTACGGAATTTTACACGAAAATCTATAAATTGACTTTTTACACGACGCACAAATCGTACGGGCACGACTACGGGAGGAAGGAAGGAAGGCAATCTATAATTTAGGCTTTAAAGCTCATTCACAACCACTTATATATGCGTAACTTAACTTAACTTACGAAACATACGTCTGTTAAGTTGTCTGTTAAGTTGTCTGTTTACATTAACTTCTTCTTCTTCTTCAATAATTGTTATTCTCTCTTTCGAGAGAATTGGACTTGAGCCAATTAGGCTCTTACTGCCCAGTTACAAGTTTTAACGTCCTTGAGCTTCTCGAAGCCATCCACTCACGGACATGTGGAATTTCAAATCTTGAAACATCCACTACATCAATTGCACAAATCACAAAATTCCTCGCTGAAAGGACAAAGCTTGCGATATTGTCGAGAAATACAGGTATATTTCTATACCGGGAACCCCATTTTATCCTTCCTGGGTCAAAGTCAACCATTTTCAGACTTTTTCATGGAGCGATGTACACACGATGAAGGATAAAATCGAACTCTTACATTAACTTAATACACACAAAAAACATAATATACAAGCACGCGCAATGTAGACATCGATGTAGATTTGGTTGCCTATCTATCTATAAAAGTGAAACAACAAGATAGCGCTATATCGTTTTACTGGGCACGTGATTGGCTCACGTAAGAAACGTATTCCCTTTGAGCCGGACCCAAGTTTTTGATACGTTAAGTTACGTGTGATAAGTTTTCTACCAGTGTAAAAGCTCATTCACATCCACTTAATACGCGTAACTTAACTTAACGTACGTGAGAGACGTAAGTTGAAATACATTGAAACCAATGCAGCTGTTTACATTCGTTGAAAACTTATCACACGTAACTTAACGTATCCAAAAGTTGGGTCCGGCTCAACTTAAGGGAATACGTTTCTTACGTGAGCCAATCACATTCCCAGTAAAACGATATAGCGCTATCTTGTTATTTCACTTTTATAGATAGAGCCAATCACATGCCCAGTAAAACGATATAGCGCTATCTTGTTGTTTCACTTTTATAGATAGATAGGCAACCCAGTCTACATTGATGTCTACATTGCGCGTGCTTGTATATTACGTTTTTTGTCTGTATTAAGTTAATGTAAACAGACGTAGGTTTCTTAAGTTAAGTTAAGTTAAGTTACGCATATTAAGTGGATGTGAATGAGCTTTAAACAGCTGCATTGGTTTCAATGTATTTCAACTTACGTCTCTCACGTACGTTAAGTTAAGTTACGCGTATATATATATATTAAAGATCACTGTAAATAAAAATTTGTTTTTGCAGTATCAAATTCACACATGACATTGTTTTTATTGTAATGCATAATATGCATATGCATATATTATATCGACATATCGATGGTTATTTGACAAAACATCGTAAGCGAAAATTTTGTTAAATTACTTTTTATTTTATCAAAGTGTAAGTTACGATAAGCTGCAATTTTGAAATCTATTATTGGTCAGTTCGAATACTTTTATTATTGTAGGTAAGCGCGGCGCTTAAAGCGCCTCTTTTTATAAATTTGTTACCGATTTATAACGTAAGCGCCTATCCCAAACAACCAGTTTACATTTTATGTACGTCGACCTTCGACGTACCTTACATTTTATGTACGTACTGCGATATCTAATGTACATCCTAAGTACGTACTAAGTACGTCCAAATTCCACCCGATAATACGTTTTATGTATGTACATTAACTAAGTATTTAGAATGTAGTTTGTACCTAAATAAAACGTACTTTTATACCGTAGATTACACAACCTTGAAGCCAATAAAAATTTGTTTTAGTGTTTGAATATTTGTTAATGGATTTTTTTACTACAAGTATGGATGGTGTGACCCATACAATGATCTAAAAAATTAAGCTTACCTAAATACTTTTTACCACCACATAGATTTTTTTACTGTCTTGAGTTTGATTCTCACTAGTCAACAAATTTTTTTATAAGTTTCAAAAAAATTAATCCTTAAAAATAAATGATGACTAAATTCTACCCAATCCATTTATATATATGTTCCCGAGTCGGAATCCCGACAAATAATCGTAAGCTACTCCGAGACATGGCGTTTGCGATTTAACATTGTGTCGCTTACGATAATATTGTTTTCCCGCCTTGATCTATTAAGGCGTTATTCCCGCTCTAAACAGTTTATTCCTGAGTATACCTGCATCGCGGTTATTTCTACCAAGTTTTAAAACAATATTTTATTTTATCAAAAGCTTATAATTCCTTTTTTTCATTGCATTATTAATAGTTATATAACCCATGGTACCATGCATGATCTAACCGTTATAAATTTGAGTCAAATTATTTAACTATATATAGTTAAATAATTTGACTCAAATTTATAACGGTTAGATCATGCATGGTACCATGGGTTAGATCATGGAGCCTACACAAGGAGTCCGAACATCATGTGAACAAGAATCTTCCTAAGATAAGAGGGCCCTGGTGTTCCGTTTATTCTGAAACAATTGTTTAATTTGTACCGAAACGCTAGCATCGACAATCAGCGCCGCTGGTGGTGAAAAAAGAAACTTAATTTGTACAACTTAGAGGGATGGTTTTGTCAATTTCCCCTATTAAGTTCGGGGTCCTTGTGTATGCTCCATGGGTTAGATACTGCAGTATTTAACCCATGGCCTACAAAACGAACAATTTTTATTCACAAACCATGCAAACCATGGTTTTTGAATAAAAATCGTTCGTTTTTTACAAAGAAAGCTAATGTAGAATTTCATTTTCAAACATTGGCAAAATATCGTTGGTGATATTTTATAAATTAATTTTTTTGTATTTTTTTTTATTTAATAATACAAGTAAAAAAATAAATGTCGCTAACGATGTTTTGACAAAAGTAATCATCAAATCTTTATCCCACAAAGTAACGTTAATGTAACTTAAGCGACAAGACTAATTTTACATTTTCCTAAAGATGTTCTTATAAAATATCGTATCCCACAAAATTTATTGAAACTTTTAGATTGGATTCGATCTTACTTAAATATTTGAATTTTTCATTAATAAAATAATGCCTCACCAGTTTTCAGATAAATAACTTTAAAAATAAAGCTCCCACACAAAAAAATCTCTGATGTAAAATTTAGGTTTTGTCGCTTACGATGTTTTGTCAAATAACCATCGATGTACTTACCACACATATACCGCTTATTCCCTATATTTTGAATAGATGAATATAATATTCGGAATATTAGAAAACTAGTTTTAAAATGCGAAATGTTTTTTTTTTAAGTTATTATATTTTTGGTCAAGAATTGGGAATGAGATAATTGTATGGGATTTGAAATTATATTGTACTGAGGGTGTGGATGCTGCTTCACAGAACATAAGCTGCTTGAATTAATTCAAATAGTTATATTCGATTCAAATTTCAAATCGAACAACTAAATAGTTAATATTACAATAATTTAAATGTTTTGAATAGTTTAAAAAAATAGAAAATGTTTAACAAGTTTTATTATTGCAATAACTTGTTCACAAACGAAAAACCCTAGCCTAATCTAAATCTAAAATATCCTAACCCTAAATGAACAAAATTCCCGATAAAAAAAGATTCCATCCTAGGACCTCCTACCTATTTCTTGAGCAAAATGTGAAATCTGCAAAAACTATTAAGACATTTCCCAGGTAATATCTATGAAACTAATGAAAAACTTAAAAACCTAGCTATTAAAATTTGTACAAAAATCTGAGCTTATTAAACAAATATAAAGATTGGTAAAGGCGTTTTAGAGTTGTATAATAGTTATTTATGTATTAAGGGCATAATAAGTGCATAAGCAATATGGCTTATTCTTTACAAGAAAAAGTGGAAATTGTAAGATTAGTAGGCGACCGAATGGGTAGTTTTTATGAAGCTGCTAAAGAATTCAATAGAATAGACATCCTGGACGGAACATTTACCATGTTACAGTTAGGAGAATTAATTTTTTTTTAACGAACACGGAAATGTAAACAAACTCTCGAATCAGCATCGTAACAGTGAGGTTCCAGCAAATCAAATAATTCTTGATTATTTTAATGAGAATCCTCGCTCAAGCATTAGAGGGGCAAGTAGAGTTTTAAATATAGGAAAAAACACTACCTGGAAATGCTTGAAAAAAATGGTAAGAAACCCTTTAAGCCAAAATTTGTCCATACACTCGAAGCTGGCGACCCTGAAAGAAGAATGGAATTCGGTTTATGGTTGCAAGGTATGTATTTAGAAAATACTACATTCCTCAAAAATATTTTATACACTGATGAAGCTACATTTACAACAAACAGTATTGTATGGTCACAAAATACCAGAATGTGGAGTGAGAAAAATCCAAACTGGTTGATAAGATGCAAAAGGCAATGCTCCTCTAAGGTGAACGTTTGGTGTGGAATATTGAACGAAAGATTAATTGGACCTTTCTTTTTGGATAGAAATTTGAACGGAGCTAATTTTCTTAGATTTCTACAGAATGAAATAAATAATGAAATAAATGAACTGCCCCTTAATGTTCGCCTCAATTTACATCTGCAGCTGGACGGGGCACCCATCCATTTTCCTAATCGTTGGATTGGGCGAAATAGCCCTATACTTAATTGGCCGCCTAGGTCTCCAGACCTCACTCCACTTGACTTGAAATAAGGTGTATAAATCAAGACTCCAAACATGAGAAGAACTTTGCGATAACGTTCTGGAGGCTTGCCACAGTATAACCAGGCAACAGCTAAGAAGGGTGGTAAACAACTGTAGACGACGCATAGACAAATGCATAATGCAATATGGTGGACTAATTGAAATGACTACTATTTAATTATCGTTAGTTGTTTTATTTTTTAATTGTTTGTTTTTGAGTTGCTCTAATACAATAAAAACGTGTTTAATTCGTATACCTACTGTAACAGCTAATTTTCCATTTAAACTTAAAGATTTTATTAATTTCAGTGTACGTTTCTTTGTACTACTCTGTAGTAAATTTAGTTGTTGCTTGGGAAGCATTCGGTATTACTAAAATATCCTGTTTAATTCGCGTCATTGTTTTTGTTATCAAAAAAAAAAATAAAAAATGTCCAGCTGGAACACTCTGTATACAGAGTATATCTAATAGCAATAAAAATTGGTATAGTGGGGTTATAAGTGGTCCCGAATAATAATCCGTGGTCAATTTTGCTCTGTAAAAATCCCTAATAGTACTTTTCGACATTCGACCCTTAAAAGAGATCACAGTTGGCCATGAGTTTAGTCAAAACAAGTGACATATGCGATTAAAGCCTTTTTTACAGATCTACCCAACAAAAAAAGTTTATGAAAATCAGTTGAAAAATGCAAATTTTACGACGGTGGTAAGGTCTTAAGCGGGACACACTGTATATACAAAATTATATCATTGCTGCGTCCATACATTTATAAAATCCCTATTCTTATTGCGTCGACGACCTTACTGCGTCAGTATATCTGACGCAGTATTAATAATAATAATAATAATAATAATAATGAGTCTTTATTTTTCATTAGTACATACAAGATATTTATAATTAAACAAAAAAAAAACAAAAATTAATAAATCCTAAATGTACATATCTAAAAGAAAAAAAGCAAAAGTCATTTGCGTGAACATTTCTTTTCGCGAAATCCTTTGTCATCCTAAGGGTGTGATAATATGTACTAATATAAAATAAACTTAACTGTGGTGATATATGCTTAGCCATTGATACCTGTATAAATTTACTAATTGATCAATATAAAGGGATAAGGACCTTGGATGTCGATGCCTATAATTCCACAAATAATAATAATAATTAGGGTGGGTTGAAAACAAAATGTTTGTTTTTTTTCTTAGCACGGGGGTTGAATTAAAAAAAAAACGGAAAATTCTTTTTTTTGTTCTAGAATCTGTAGGGTGTCCCCTTAAAAGCCAATTGAAAGTCAAAAGTTGAAAAAGTTTTTTTCCCATTGTTTTTGTAATTTAAGTAAAAAATTAAAAAATTAAATGCACTTTCTTTTGTTTTAGAATGAAAGTTGAGTGAAAAAAATCACATTCTACAATTTTAACATGTTTTTCAAGATTTTGTACAAAAATAGGGTTTCCCGTTGGAACTACCCCATTTAATTAAATATTTATTTAAAAAACGAGTGGGCAACCTCAAGATGTTAAGTAAAAAAATTTTTTTTCTTTTGAAAAATTTTCTTTTTTTATACAAGGTACAAATTCTACCCCCATTTTACGAAAAAAACACAAACATTTTTTTTTTCAACCCACCCTAATAATAATATCTTTAATACATAAAACAGTAAAAAATGGAAATATTAAAGTACCAATCAAGATTCTTAGTAATTATTACTTAACCATTCAAAAAACAGTAACGCTTAATATGACCAACATCGTTAGATCTGTAGGTACTATACTGGAAGGTCAAGCTTTTTGAACATTTATTTTCCGAACTATTGGCCCAAAATAAATAATAATAAATAATAATAAAAAATAATCAAAAAATGTAGGTAGGTACTCTAAATAAAAACATGTTTTTATTTAATGAGGTAAAGTGTAGAAAATGCTTTTGCTTTGCTTATTTTCTGTATTTTCTTTAGGAACCCTAACTGTATTTTAGACCTACAGAGAAAATAGCGAACAAGGACAATATAAATAATAAGGAAGGAAAAATGCATAGTCATAATATGTCTAACTATTTAACTAACCTTGTCACGAAATTTTGTGACATTTGGTGATATTTCCATTATATAGGTACTTCAAAGAAACTTTAAAGATGACTGACCCTTGTTTTCCTATGAACATTCCGCCTCATCAAATTCCTTATTTAGAAAAACATAAAATATATGAACTATTTCACGTAAGTGGATTTTTAAATTTAAATTTAAATACAATTTTAAAAAGTTAATAGAAAACGTGTAAGTACCTAAATTGTCAACGGTATTTTAGGAACTGACTAGAGAACTTGTAATTCAACAACCTGAAGATCATGTTATGTTTTTAAAACAATTATTATCAAATGCTGCTAATTTAAAGGACACTTCAAGAATTATTATATTACATTCTCCTAAAATAAATTCTTTGGAAATAGCGATTGGAATTTCAAAAATAACTAATCATGTAGTTATTTCTGAATATACCCTACTTCGTTGCCTAGACAAGGTTATGAACATTATTGGTGGAATTATGCAGCACAAATTAACATTAAGATTAAGATTAATTTAACTTTTTATTACATTTATCTTAACCTTTTAATGTTAATGTTAATATTAACTTAATGTTAATTTGTGCTGCATATTTCCACCATATTTTTTCTTAAATTATAATATTTTTACTTAATTTTTAAACAGACATGTAGGGATGAAGTGAATTCCAAATTATTGGCAATGGGGTTATATTATCTAATTAGAGCTGAAAATGCATACAAAAATGGGTGGATTATTGTTGGTAAAAGGAGTACCTAATATAAAGGGTGTCCCAAAAAGGAATTTTGATTTAAAAGTTCTTGTTGGGAAACTTAATATTCATTACTATTGTTAAACATTATTTTATAGGATGTATACATACCCCAGAAGATGTAACAGCAATAATTCATCAAGGAATATTACCTACTCATGTTATACATTTAATTGCTCCTTTTCACCCCCCTATAAATGAACTTATATACTGTAAAGTACATGCAGAGTGGCCGATATACAGAAGACGTATTTTTCATATAAGGCATTTATTTAGCAAAGTTTTAGTAGTAAGCAAAGTGAACTAGTAGTATAAAATTACACGGTTTTGCTATTCAAAATCTATGGATTTTTTTTATTTTTAGGAGGTTTATTTACAACAAAAATCACTTGATAAAATAATCATCGAGTGTGTGAATGCATCAAAACTTCGTTCAGGTCCAAATTTTATAAAACCAAGAATAATAATTTTCGGACCACGTGGTTCAGGAAGGAAAACACAGGCTAGAATGTTAGCAGCCAAACTAAATTTAGTTTATAGTAAATGAAATTTATAATTATAATTTACTATTTATTAATTATTAAACGTTAAATGCTTTAGTTAATTTCGAATATCTAATATGCCAAGCATGGACTTCTGAATCAGAGCTGGGCAACAAATTACGCGAATGCAAAAGCGAAGTCTGTTTTCATTCGGAGCTGATGGCACAAGTAATTAATAAAAGGATTTTGGAGGATGATTGTTTGGAAAATGGATGGGTTTTAACTGGATTTCCGTATACAGTGAATGATTTAAAACTTCTGGATACATTAGATACCCCACCAAGCAGGTTAGATTTAAACATACATTTTATTGATCAATTTTCCTATAAACAAATCGACATGATTGCTCTTGGCTTGCCTTTGGAGATGGCTTGTCTAGGCATGATTACCCTGCTAAAAACAACTGATCGACAAATGATCGAGTTTTAAAACTTGATCCTTTTTGACATATTTTCGATGCGGTTTTTCACTTCCCAGACACCAATATGACGTCTTAATTAAGTCTGCATAAGCTCTATTTTATGATTTGGACGTCAAATACAACATCAGAAAGAAGTTTTTAAGAAGTTCTTAAGACTTCGAATGCGCCACCTATTGAACTAATCAAGACTTCTCAAAAAAGAACTCTTGAGGAACCCTTTTCTTTGACTTCGCATTTAAGCATTTTAAAGAGTCCTACTGTATAAACTTATAAAAAGACTTCTTTAGAATTTCCCGTTTTGGATATAGAAGTACCACTAGGGTACTGATGAAAAAATACATACTGGATCGTTGCTTATTTTGACATGTCAAGTTTAATTACCATACACTCGATGACAAAATTAACCGGACACTAGGTTTTCTAGGAAAATATAATAACAGATATCTTAATTTTTAATAATTTTAATTAAATCTTAATTAATAAACATTTTTAAAGAAGGAAAACAAAAAATTTTCTGTAAATTTACATAAAAATAAAAAAATTCAAAATTTGAAAAAAATGTTTTTGCAAAAGATGCCTCAAAAAATCTTTAATAGTAAGTATTTCCTACTCGAGCTTGAATCACGGCTCTTATCCTTCGTAGCATACTTTCTATTAACCCAGCAACCTCATTCTGGGACATCTGCTCCCATTCATTTAACAGAGCTTGTTCTAGTTGAACCACAGTGTGAAACTCGCCATAGTTCCGTGTAATCCTTCTTCCTAGATTGTCTCACATATGCTCTATTGGGTTTAGGTCCGGAATCCTTGGTGGCCACCCCAACACCTGAATATCAACATCCTGAAGGTACTGACGAGTTACCCGGGCAGTGTGCGGTGGAGCATTATCTTGCATTAACAAGAAATTTGGTCCTATAAAATGGAGCAAAAGGTACCACATGCTCTTCAAGACACTCCCTAATGTACCTGTCAGCGTTGATGCTGCCTCCCCGAAACGTAACATGGGCCGTACGAGCTTCAAAACATATGCCTGCCCATACCATTATACCGCCACCACCAAATTGTACTCTTGGAGCAAAGCAACACTGGTTATATCGCTCCCCAGGTCTCCTAAACACAAGCTGACGACGATCTGAAGCATATCTCGTGAAACGGGACTCATCTGTAAAGAGAACGCATCGCCACTCTTCCATATCCCACTCGACATGACTGCGCGCAAATTCCAAGCGCTGTCTGCGATGAGCTGCATCCAAAAGAGGGCCAGTGGCAGCTGTATGAGGAGTGAGATTTTGCTCTCTTCACCTTCTTAATACTGTACGTGATAAAACCAAGGTCCCATGCACGTCTGCCAATCTCCTACTCAAAGCTGTAGCAGGAAGTGTCCGATCTCGCAGAACTTGGAGTCGAACAAAACGGTCTTTAACTGCTTTTGTTGATCGTGGCCTTCCTTGTCCAGGCAATCTTGAGTAGGAACCAGTTTCCTTGAACCTTTGTATCGCATCAGATACTGTACTTCGCGGTACATTAATCAAATTGGCGATAAATCGGATACTGTGTCCTGCATTGTGCAACAGCTTCAGCAGCTTCTTTCGGAGTCATGACGAATTTTTTACAATAATTCACAATTCTGCCGTGCTTAATGAAAACGCCGTAACCAACAATTGTGCGATTTTTGTTTTACGGCATTTTCTACTAGAATTCATCCTGCGTCTATCCCCGGTACTCAAAAAACCGTATCTATATATATACGGTTTTTTGAGTACCGGGGATAGACGCAGGATGAATTGTTCTAGTAGAAAATGCCGTAAAACAAAAATTACACAATTGTTGGTTACGGCGTTTTCATTAAGCACGGCAGAATTATACACCTCTAACACCATTATATTCTTTAAACAACCTTCGAAACTCGAAGCAAACAGCAATTAAATTGAATTGTAGAGCTCTGTGAAACGTAAACGATTTGAAAAAATTGCTAAAACAGTGTCCCCGTGATATTTGAAAGACAAAAAAATTTAAACTCATTTAATTTTATTTGTCTGCATATTTGCATAGCTGTTAAATTAATATACAGTGCGTTTTATAAATTTTGTGGAAGAAATATGAAGTGTCCGGTTAATTTTGTCATCAAGTGTAGAACAAACGAATTTGTTAAATTGATTTTATTAAAATCATTTTAATAATTTGCTCGTATTCGCTTATTTTTGGAATTGCGATTACTTTTTGTCACTTTTGTTTAAATTCAAGCGTGATCTTCACCGGCATCGATAGACGACCTGTTTCGCTCTTTTGGAGCTCGTCAGTATCGGGTAGCCGTTTACCTAGGTCTAAGAACGTTTGGTATGAAGCACGCTCTAAATTCTACTTCGCCGCTTCTTATATCAAACACAAGCAGTTACAGCGGTAGAAGAAAGTAATCGCATTAAAATGTCCTAAATGTGACGTCTCCATGTTGACGTCTTTAAGAGTTAATAATATGATTTCAGTAAGAAGTAAGAAAAGAGAATACTGTAAGATATCATATAGGTACCTAACTGAAGTCTTATTTATGATACCCTAAGTAGCTTCCAATTTTGATTTCAATAAGAGGTCAGAAAAAAAGATACTTTAAGATGTTAAAAAATTGACTTCTCATTTATGAATTCATCAAGAACTCTTAATCTTGAGCTCCTAAAAATGATTTCTCTAAGATGTCATATTGTGACCTCGGTAAGATGTTTTTCTACAGACTTCGTACAGAAATCTTTCTGAATTGGATGCTGTCTGGGTTGTTTTCGTGAATAAAAAGGATCGATATTTCAAACTCGATCCTATTTAATCATGAAAACAGGATCGACTCTTGATCTTTTTTGATCGCGAAATCAGGAGACATGTCATATTTGACGTCACCAGTACCATTTTTTAATTTATGCTACTGTGTGAATTTTGTTCAAATATTTTAATGCGAAAAAAACTAAAAAAAGTTGCTTATATTATTTTCTGAAAAGTCCTCTACCTGTCAATGAAAGTCCTGTCAAAATCGATTCAGCCGTTTTAAAGATTTCAATTAAAAACTAGCCACCATTAATAATTTTGGGTTATAGTAAATATAATCTTGAGGAAAAACAGGTCGATTTAGATCGGGGGGAATACAATTCCATGATTAAACAAATTTTATGTTGCATTGAAAGGTAATTTAATTTTCATCCAAATCTAATCAATCGTTATTAGTAATTAATTATTTTTTTATTTAGAAGGACAAAATGTTTCTAATATAAATACGAATTCAATTTTCAATACAATATTTATGGAATATTATGGGGCAACCCAGTACTTAAAGTTAAATAAGTTTTTACCGATGTTTACCGAGATTTACCATTTTAAAAACCCAATGCTTACTTCACGAATTTTGACCCAACTATAGTTAATGATGGCATTGATGGCGTGCCGACATTAAGCCTTTCTAATGCGGATGATAAATGTTTGCTATGTTTTCTTAGCTCCTTGTGGTTCTTCTTGGCTTGTTAACTTATGTTAATATAAACTTACTTTTGTTTTTATGATATTTTTAAATAGTCAAGTCAAGACGAGCCTAGGAAAACCAACTATAGTTTATACATTTTTTAGTTAAACAGCGCGCCTATAACCTAAACACTAAAAATATTGTACATATGTAATAAATACCAAAAATATAACATATAATTTGTAAAATAAATACCAAAATATGTTTTTGTATCCTGATTGGAGTATTTGCAACAATTAAACATACTTTTTATTTATTATTTTAGAATAATATTTCTTGATATCGACATTAATATATGCATGGAAAGAATTAGGCATAGAAGATATAATATTTATACTGGATCTGTAACTAATATTAAGGAACAACCTGAAGTTGCAATTAAAAAAGAATTAAAAATTCATCTTAAGGATGACGAAAGATATGTTCAATCTGAGGTAAACAAAACAAATTTTCAGGTAAACATATCCCAATCATAATAAAAAAATGGTTTTATTATAACTGGGACATTTCATTTTTGTTTTTTCAGAAAAATGTTTTACTAAGAAAACGAAAACAATATTTTATATTAGTTTGGCCTCTTCTTATCATGATATGCATAGGATTATTATGCAATATAATTATAATATTATTATAAGCACATTGTTTTATTTAATTTGTTTTATGGATTAATAAATATTAATATTATAATATGTATAATTTATATCACGTGTATACAATATAAAGGTATTAAAAAGTTTCAGAGGTGGTAGATCTCTCAAAAACAATAATTTTATTATTATATTACATTTTAACATCAAAATACACACCCAAATCTTTAATACCAATTCACAACCTCTAATTCAACGTGATTTATTACATGGATATTTATATCCATTTTAATGCTCTTTACTTTAATGCTCTATATGTTTTAATCGGGAGAACCGCATTACCTTAAAAATGTTTAACTGCATACAATTAATTTCACACCGATTTCTTAAAACATTTAAATCGGATTAAGACAGTCTTTAATGCAGTTAATTTGTGAATAAAACTTAACAATATTTTACATTACTGTTATCATTAATACAACCATTAAATAACAAAGGAGACAGATGATCTCATTGTGGAACACCAGAGGTTATGGAAATTGTAAACCTATAGTGATTATTCAATATGACTGTTTGAGTTCTATTTAATAGAACTCAAACAGTCATATTGAATAATCACTATAGGTTTACAATTTCCATAACCTCTGGTGTTCCACAATGAGATAGAATAGAATCTATTAAAGAGGTAGCTTTCCAACCATGAACATAAATTTTCGCCAAGACTCAAGGCTTTCATCTTAGCTAACAAAATAACGTGAGGTACTTTGTCGAACGCCTTCGAGAAGTCAGTATAGACTGCATCAATTTGCCCCTGATTCTCCAAGATATTCAATAAGTCCTCAGTGTACAAGTACAGTTGGCAAAAAAATTCTGGGTGTCAAACTTTTCAGGGTATCATTTTTTTGCATTTACAAATTTTTTAACATATATAACATAAATTTTTTCAAAAATGTCGCTTTTAAAAAAAAAGTCAAAATTAAAATTAAAAGTTAAAAGTTAAGAAAAAACACTGAAAAAAAAAATGGTTTTTATATTTTGTTTTCAAAAACTATAGTTTATATTAAATAAATTTTTAAATTTTAAAACGAAGAAAATAGCCACCGGTCAAATGAGGTTACGATAATTTAAGCAAGAGTTATGAATTTCTGAAAATTACCGTATCGTTATTTTTTTGCGATTTTCAAAAATTCATATCTTCGGGGCTTTTGAAAATTAAGGGCTCAAAATTTAGGGTTAGGCGGCTTTTGATACGTAGAAAAGATATCAAAAATTATACAATACAATTTTTAAAATTTGGTGATTTGATATGGAATATGGAATACATAGCTTTTTATGTATAAAGGCAAATTTTAAAATTTGGTCTGGTTTTAGACATTTACCGTTCTTTAATATCTTTTAAAAGGTTTCTATTTTAAAATAAAGGCAAGTCATTTGAAATAATTGTAACTCTAATAATTATTTCTAATTTGCTATTAATATAACCTATGATAATAACACGCAAAGCAGACTCAGTATGCGGCGCAGAGCACAGAACAATATGCGCAGACTGCGCCGCAGACTGCGCCGCAGACAACGCATAGCGGAAAGGTGCGGGCAGAAACAATTCGTATGAGTTCACGGCCTCGTTGGAACATGAGGGTATTCAGGAAATTTAATAAATCGAAGTATAAACAATTAAATAATAATATTATTTATTTATTTATTTATTTATTTAATTTCATGCCTAAATTTTTTTAACATGTGGGAAATATGTTTTTTGCTTAGGCATGTCGAAGCCAATCGGGGGCCCCCCTAGCCGGGGGCCCCGTATCCGGTAGCTACGCCCCTGATACAGAACCAAAAAGGTCTGCAGAATAGTTAATAGGGTTATTGGATGAATCACCGTTATAACACATTTCATTAGGAAGCGCATTGTCGGTCTGTTTTGTATTTATATACTTCTAAAAATATTTTGGATTTGTGCATAGGTATATTGCTTTCAACTTTGTTTATATAATTTACATAGCACTCATTAGACATGGTTTTACATAAGATTTTTAAATTACTAAATGCATTATAATTATCAAATGAGGGATACATTTTATAGTTTTATATTTTATTTATATATTCTAAGTACGTAGAATTATTTGACCAAAAAGTTGGCCAAAATTATTTTATCAATATGGCTAAGAGTACGCACTTCCCATGAGTGCGCAGCACAATTTTTTATTTAAAATCATTGATAACTGACCATGTACGGATATCTATTGTATGTTTTAAATATCACCTCAACCCATTGGTTATTAATAGTTGTTAGTTTAAATTCGGTCTAGAATTATATCCCTTATAAGGTCGTTAATTATTCTATTTAAAATAGGCAATTATTCGGTAAGTTCCACGTGAAACGTACGTTATTTATTGTTTTTTGTTATGTAGATGCAAAAGTTTTGTATTGTTATTCAATCGTTTGTGCTTAAAAGAGCAAAGTTATCTAAACTGATATTTGCCCAGGAGTGCGCACAAAAATATTCCCAAGAGTACGCGTACATATTCTTGAGAATATAAATAACTTCATATGAATCCTGGTTTTAAGGCCAAATCACAATGAGTTTTTACAAAAGAAAAAATGATCCGAAGTTAGTATTCATAGAGAAACTAATGGAATAAATTCATCGTGGAGGCTAGCAAAAGAATTCAATATCCCGGAGGTCACCCTTGGAAAAAGACTAAAATGTGGATCAATTCCTACGTCATTGGATCGTTATAAATGCGGAACATATAAAAGAATAAGATTCTGTTTTACGAAATTATGAAAAAGACTGTTTTGGCGTACGAATTTGCAGTTGCAAATAATTTGGAGCATCTATTTGACGGCGAGAAGAAAGCAGTCCAGTCCGTCCAACAAATTGGTAGCTAACTTTTCCAACTGGCAAAAAATTTCACTTCGTCGACAAGAAAGGCTAATGGAATTGTCCTGTTTTTTTAGTAATCTAAAAGAAATGCTAATACATTTTGCCACAAAATATATTTAATATGGACTCTCTAAAAATGAATTAGTCAAAAATGACTAATTGTCATAGCGAAAAAGCAGTCATCAGCAATTTATATACCGTACATTGTCCGCTGAATTAGAAAATGTCCCCAAAAGTTATAAAAGTAGAACAGTAAAATCAATTAGCACGTTTTCAATACGCAAATAAAATAAATCTTTGACGTCCTTTCCGGCAAACGAAGCATTTTCGGATATAAATAACTTTCATCACCAACATTTCAACCCTTGAAACGTAAATTTAGATTGTGAACATCACTTATAAATGTAAATTTGTTGTACAAATATGGGGGTGATTTTATTAATATGCAGCGTCGCGGCATGTATTTTCTTTTGGCTTAGCATATTTAGCCTATTTGCGTTTTTAAGAATCATATTGGCCATAAATAGCTTGTATTCCTGAGATCTACCACTTTTACAATTTTTAAGAATTCCTTTTGCAATACCCTGTAAATGTTTATCAAACAAAGAAGTCTTAAATTATTTTAAAGTTTATTACATTACTACATTCTTTATAAAATTGGACATACTTACATTTATTTTATTCACAGTTAACTTTTTACTGCGAACATTATGGCGCAATAAAAAAATACTGTGGGGACACTGCTTTTGTAGTAAACGCAGATCAAGAAGCTCGGTGTATTCATGAATGCATCACATCATATGTTGTGAAATCTTTAAGTTCAAAGGCAACCAGATCTGGACTAGCTGACGATGAAGAAATTCCCAGTACCACAAGTTTCTGTGGATGCATTCCAGTACCTCGAGAAATGGCTAATGCCTTTGTTACAACTTTATAAATCGGTGTAATAATAATATATTATTTACTTTATTAAAATGTTGTATTAATTTAAAAATATATACAGAGTGTTATGGAAAACACTTTAGTAATTCTAGGATATCAATCAGTGAGACAATTGAAACAACTTTTGCTCAATAACTCTTCTTAAATTTTAAAGTTAAAATAACATGATATCATGATGATCAGAGCTTATAAGCACTATGGTGCATGATAAAAATTACCTTGATTCTACGAATCGACTAGATGCAATGTAGTAGGATTTATTTCAATGTCGGTACCATTTGATTAAACTAAAAATACAGAGTTGAACAGAATGCAATTTTTAACATTTTTTGTTCCAAATTACCGATTAATATCCTAAAAGTACTAAACTGTTTTCCATAACACCCTGTATAATATTTTTCTGTTTTGTAAATTAAAAAATCATGCACTAATAGGTACTTAATATTATCGGTTTTAGTATACATTTAATATATTCAGTGGCGGCTCCTGGTCAAAAGAAGTAATGAAGCTAATAAAGTACAAGTAGGTGTTAAAATTTTTTAGTCCCATTTGACATTAAAACAATTAAATCCAAGATTAAAAAAAATTACTACGACCTATTAATTATATAAGTTGTCTAAAAATATAGCATCTATAATTAAACCATTAATTAATACCGCTGGACCTAATTAGGTCCACATTAATGTACTGAAATTTTGACTGGGTAAAATTTCGTCAAATTAGCATGAAACATTTTTTGCTTAAATAATTAAATTGCATGTGGCTCAATCGATAGGTTTCTTTGATAAAAATGAGCCTGCCAAGCAAAAAAGGCGAAATTTATAAAAAATTTAATAATTCAATTATTATTATTATTATTGTTATAATTTGTATAAGTTCTGGAGCTTTTCATAAAACGTGTAGCTTTATCAAGGCCCTAACTGTTTTGGTTTAGGATCAAGGTTCAGAGATGTTCTGAGCTTATTGTCCGCCAGATGGCTCTTTAGACTTGAAAGTAAGCTTGTTAATACGACAACAGATAGCGTCCAGTTTATTCAACTTTATTATTATTTGAAC